TCCTTCAAAGCAGCCTGAACTTCTTCTTTCATCACCATAGTAATTTACTTTGTAAGGTGCTTCATCTTTTACTTTTTCTTCAGGTGTCTTCAGTAATACATATTTATTTATGATATTGACCATAAGTATATTGTTGCTGTTGTTATGTGCCATTGAGTTACCTGCCCTAATAGTAACCCTACATAAAACAACTCTGAACTCTGCTGTATCCTGTGCCAATATCCCTGACTCCGACACATTTACCTGCATTACCCCAGGTACTGTGTCAATTCATGTCATCTGGAATCTTCCTCTCCTGCATTGTCCCTCCATCCTACATATGATATCCTTCTTTAAGGACCAGTCCCTCCTGAGCACATGCCCAAAATATGTGAGACAGAAATGAAAACTTCTATCCTCCAAAGAGAAACTTGGTTTAATCCTCTCCAAGGCAGACCTGTTTGTTCTCTTGGTGGTCCATGGTATGTTCAAGACTCTTTACAGCACCACAATTCAAAGTCATCAATTCTTCTTCTGTCATCCTTAGTCACTGTTCAGCTCTTAGCAAGTAATTTCAAAGACCATGGCTTGCATCAGGCCTCCTTACCTTAGCCTCCAGATTGACATCGTTGTTCTTCAGCACTCTGGAGACGTCCCTGACAGCGGATTTTCCCAGTGCAATTCATCTTGATTTCTTGAGTGCTGGGGCCTACCATGGTTCTGTCAATTGGCCCAGTGGTAAGAATCTTCTTCTTGATATTGAGCTTCAATTCATATTGAAGCCTACAGTCCTTGACTTTCTGCAGCAAGACGCTCAGATCCTTCTCAGTTTCAGTAAACAAGGTTGTATCATCTGCATAATGCAGGTTTTTGATTAGTCCTTCTCCAATCCTGATGCCACATTCTTCCTCATAGAGCCCAGCCTCCTGGATGATCTCTTCCACATTAGATAAAAGAGATATGGAGACAGGAGACATCCCTGACACACTCTTTTCCTGATTTTTTGCACTATGCAGTGTTTCCTTTCTTTGTTCTGAGAACAATTTCCTGATCCAAGTATTGGTATCACATGAGCACAATCAAATGTTCTAGGATTCTCATTCTTCTCAAGGTTAGCCATAATTTGTTAAGATCCACACAGTCAAATGCTTTTTTATAGTCAATGAAATACAGGCCAACACTCCTCTGGTATTCTCTGCTTTCAACCAAAATAGATTTGACATTGGTGATAATGTCTCTAGTACCACAACCTCTTCTAAACTGATATTGTATTTCTGGTAGTTCACTGTCAATGTACTGTTCTCCAGTCACTTTTGGATAAATTTCAGCAGGATTTTGTTGTGTGGGATATTAGTGATATTGTTTGGTAGTTTCCATATTCTATTGGGTCACCCTTTATTTTGAATGGGAACAGCTATGGATCTTTTCCAGTCAGTTGGTCAGATAGTTGTCTTCCAGATTTCTTGGCACAACCTGGTGCGTATTATCCAGGCCAGCATCTGTTTGTTAAATTATGTTGCGTGGTATTCTATCAATTCCTGGGGGCTTGTTTATTGCCAATTCTTTTAGGTCAGCCTGAACTTCCTCCTTCATCACCATTGCCTCTTGATTGTATGCGTTTCATGAAATTCTTCTGACTCTGTGTACTCCTTCCATCTTCTTTTCACAGGGACCTTGTATTCATACAGTTTTTAAGGAAGTAGAGAAGGAATGTTTCTTATAACTTAGACCCTGTGTAAATTATTTTATAAGATTTATCATTCTAAATCTCTTTAGCAATCTTCTGATAAACCTAACCCTATATTTGTATGTCAGTTCTTTAAGTAGTGGGGAATAATAACCCTTTATAATTATATTTTCATTTCCAGGGTGAATATTTTCACCTTTTTTCTTGTTCTTCTAGTTCCTGATCCCTGTCCTTTTGTCCATATTCCATTGTTATTGTTGTGTACCATCAAGTTGGAACAGACTCACAGCTGACCCTATAGCAAGTTTTTAGAGGCAAGTTTTAGTCATACAGGAGGAGATTGTGCATCCTTCTCTTGCAAGGCAGTTGGTGGACTCAAGCAGTGTGCATTCAGGATTGGAGTGCAGCTTCTTGCCACTATACCACCAGGGCTCCTTAGCTTCTATTATTATAAACAAATCTAGAACAGACAGTGTTTTATAGGTGCATCCACTATCACATTAGATTGTTCACTATCCTTATTCCCTGAGTTCTTGATCTAAGAGTTTTATGTGTATAGTGTTGCCCAGTTTTCATATATTTCATTTTCTAGTGGAGCTCTGGTGGCCTAATTGGTAAGAGGCTGGGCTGCAATCCCGAAGACATGTGGTTTGAGGCCACCAGCTGCTCCATGGGAAGATGGACAATTTCTTCCTGTGCCATTAACTGCCTCTGAAAGGCCACTAGAGAGTCAGCTATGGATCAGTTCCAACTTGATGGTACACAACAACAACAACAACAACAACAACAACAACAATGACCCTCTGATAGAAATTAGCTAGCATATTTTCCGATAGTGGTATGGGCATGGAATATAATTTTCACACTTGAGAGCTTATGGAAGCTTTAGTTGGTTCATTAACAGATTAAATTTAGGTTAAACATTTAAGTTTATTACCTGTTCATAGAATTCATTGACAATACCCTCTGTCCACTGAAGATGGAGTTCCTTACATTTTGCTGGTCCGTTTATATCAGCCAACTTGATACACATTTGACAAACCAATAGACGATCATTTTCATTGGTCCAATCTATCCCAACATCATCATTTACCTGTTTAAAAGACAAAATTAAAATGTGTTTGTCTCAATCAAAGAAAACATTTACAAGAGATAGAGAAAATAATACAATGTTCATTTTCTTACACTATGTGGGCATCAGAATATTCTGTATTAAGGGAATCCTCAGCTATATAGAATATTACTAGGAGTTTAATAAATTAAAATAATTAGTAAAAATAGAAAAGAATAACAGATAAAATAATATTAATTATAGAATGAAACAATACATTCTATAAAAATGAGCATATATTGTAAATTATCTTTAATATTCTGTTTTCCTGAATTATGATTTTGGGTCATTATACTGGACATATACAAGTTTGCTTCTGTTGCCTTTTTTTCCTAAATTGTGATTTGAGCAATAGTTTACAAAGTAAATCGGTTTCCCATTCACATACATTTTGTTTATAACATTAATACAATATTCACAATGTAACTGCATGATTTAGTCATTTTACTTTAGCTCCTGCCAGGAATTTGTTAGATCCTTAGGGAGAAGAACAAGTCAAATAAAATTAACAACCTCCACAATATATAGAACTGTGCTAGAATCTGAATACTCCTCTCTAGCACAAAGTAGAGTATGTACAGATGGGACCTCAGCTCCTCAGGTTTCTAGATTGGGATCAATACCTGCCTGCCTTTCTACCTACCTACCTACCTACCTATCAATCTGCATCTGATTAAATACTGCAGTTTCATATTTGACACATAATAACCAAAACAATGGCAAATTCAGCTGAGATATATTTCAATGTGAAGGCTGAAATTTTAAGAGTGGTGCAGGTTTAGTTACCTTGGCATTAAATTTGGCTACGAAGTCAAAGTGTTTCTTCAGGTCAGTGGCCAAAATGGCTTCAATGACAAGAAAACGGAAATGCTTAAATTCCACATGGTCAAGGTTAACTAAGAAGTTATACTCTGGCCGGGACATGAAAAGATTCCATGCAGCAGCTGCATGATGATTCTCCAAAACGGAACGATCGTTATATAGCACCGCCTAGGCAAGTAAGAGAATGAAGAGTTCAATTTCTTAAGTTAAAAAAGAAATTAAAAAAAATATATAAAACAAGACGTTTTCAAAATTGTTCTTGCTTATGAAACAAGAAATACAATCTTGTGACTCCTGATTATTTCAGATTTATTTATTTTCTTCATAGCAGTGGATTTAAAAAAAATTTATTTGTGACTAAAAGAAAATTAGTCTTCCTTTAACTTAAGTTGTTTTTGTAATAGAAAGTCCTTTTCTTTTATGCTCTACCCTTGCAAATGAGGACTATTAACTTATTTTAAGTGAGTTAGGTGGGTTCCCCCCACCCCATATTTCTTTATAGGGCACAGGAACAATGTATACACATAAATATACTGATATCCTTAGGAGGTAACTAAAATTACCTTAATTACACATATATAACTAAGAGAGATGAGTGAACTCCCTGCGAACCCCATAATTAAAATATTCCTACCCCACAATCATCCACAAGCAATGTTACCCTCTCTCTAGTAATTGATAATATATAGTCATCATTTACATGTTTGGAACTCTCTAATAATGATGAGGAAATCTGCAAAAGAAAAGAAAATTGCCTACAGGGAGCTTGATGATGAATGTGGAAGACAGACTGTAAAGAAGGCATAAGAACAAGGAGGAAAGATTAACCACAAACATATAAACAAATATGACAAATTGCAGCAAATTAGAATGCATAGGAGCATAGGAAAGTTTGAATGGCAAATGGGGCTAGTGAGAGGATTTGTCCATCTCTCTATAATGAAATAATTCTAGTGTGTGAAGGAAACAGTAAGTAAGTAGAAAAAGAATTTATCAGGGTAATTTTTATTGTACATGTTGTTGTGTTCCATAGAGTTGGAACTGACCCGTAACTGACCCTCTGGCAGGTTTTCAGAGGCAGTTAGTTAATCACACAGGAGGAGATTCCTCAGTCTTTTCCCACAGAGCAGCTGGTGGCCTCGAACCGTGTACCTCTGGGATTGCAGCACAGCTCCTTGTCACAACGCCATCAGATAGATTAAAGAAATATACTAATTTTTAAGGCACATTGTTGGAAATGATGAGAAAGTAGGGCAAAAGACAAACAAGGTGGGAGGGGAGTAAATATGGCACTCTGTATGGTGGTGGTTGTTGCTAGGTGCCATTAAGTTGATCGTGATTCATAGCAACCCCATGAATAATGGATCTGAACCTTGCCCTATTCTGTGCCATCTACATCATCTTCAATATACTGGAATCCATTATTACTATATTGACCTGTAAATCCTCTAAACAGAACATCAAAGTGAGGCTTATTAACATAAGCCTAGATAATAAAATCAAGGAAACGTGACTGAGTTTTATTGTACAGTTATACTAAAAATAGTGATTATATATTTACTTAGCTTAAATATACATGAAGTTGACTCCTTTAAGTCTACATACTGTTTTGTAATCTAAATTCCTCTTAAATAAGTGAAACAAAGAGAATTTTTATTTCTATCAACCAAGAGATACCTACTTCCACTGAGTCCATTAAATTTCTGAGGCTTTAAATCTTAACAAGAGAAGAATCCCATAGAAGCACTGGAGGATTTGAACTGCTGACCTTTGGTAACCTACTATGCCAACAGAGCTCCAACCAACAGATTGGGTATAGTCATAATTAAAACAAATATATATTAAAGGAATGGGATTTAAGAACAAAGAGGTTTTATGTTCTTAAAGTACAAAAAAGATTTGGCTCTCTAATCTTTTCAGAAAGGGACTTTGTGTAGGTAAGATTTTCTTCCTTGAAGTCCTTTAACACTGATTCAAGTAGTTTTTCTTCCTAAGAACAGTGAGAAGGAATCCCCATAGGAGTTAAGAAAAGTTGCATATCTACCAAGAATATCTTCGAACAAACCAAGAACAAACAAAACAAATTCCAAAACAAGATCTTTTTGATATCTTTTTGGAATTAGCACAGCTTCTAAGAATTTTAGCAATTACTAGATATAGTTTGGCTTATGTTTCCTTGGTGCTTATTTAGAAAGTTAATTTTCTTTGGACAAAGAATATATATTAATTTATTCCTCCTAATCAAAACCTAAAGATTTTACCTGAGGAGCACTAGTTGCAACCAGAAAGGCATTGGTCCTTCCTGGGTGATCGTAATCATGCATGGCTGCAGCAACATACAGTGCCATCAACTCTAAGGCAGGGATATTACCAGACAGACATCCGTATTTATCATCTGGCACACTATACATTTTTGAGAATACATATCCCATATGTCCATGTGTAAATCCACTGTCAGAATCTGAGAAAAGAAAATGGAAGCAATGGAAATCTTTCAAAAATATTCAACTCTTATCATTTGCTTTGATTTTCTTAAAAATGAATAGCGGAGAAGTGATAAACCCAAATAGTCTTTTGATTCTATCTTTCTCAAGGGGACACAAAAACAATTCATAAAATACCTGAATCACTTGCTGACCCATGATCATTAATCACAGTTGAAAGTCCTGGAATAGGTTGTGTAGTAAGATACCAAACAGCATGTAAGACGTCAGTGGCGTGGATTCTGTTATGATCTGTAACCAATGCAAAGGAAGTTTAAACTGTGAACTCTGAGTGCAAGGATTAAGAGTGCCACCTACTGGATAAACATTTTAGTCCTAGCATTCTATTACCCCAGTGAAAACCAACCTAACTTTCTAGGACAAATACTGTTTGATTATTCTTCCATAATGCCACAATGTCCATAGTAACAAGAAAAAAAGAAAACAAAACAAAAATAAAACACAACCCAATACAACATTCATTATATATACATGCAGATCCATGAAGTGGAAAAAGGAAAATCTGAGTCCAGGGTTTTCTAGAAACCTATGCAGATAGGAAATTCACTATGTAAAACAGCCATGATGTTTACTCCTGCACACATTCCCATGTTCCTGTTGAAGACTAAGCAAGAGGCCAGAAAAAAGGAAAGGTCTATGACATACTTCTAGTGAGACCAAAGGTCCCTACTATCCAGTATCACATCTCTGATAAATGCCATTAAAAATCTATCAGTAGAAGATGGCACTAATTTTTTTGTATCAAACTTAAAATATGAATGAATACATGCATCAGGTAGATTTAACCCACAAAGCAAAATTTTAACCCAAAATGTTTTAGTTTTTCTGATCTGAAAATTCTGATTTAGGAATACAAGTCTAGGAAATACCTAACTGGAAGCTAAAAATAATTTTGAACAATAATGTAGGAAGCTGAGCCATTTAGAGGAGCAAAAACTGTAGAAATAATCCAACTTGCTAGTTACCATATCATTAATATGAGGAAAGGTGTTATCTAAATGTGTGGGTTAACTTTTACTGAACCATGACCTACATTCCAGGGTGCTCTTGGCACACCGGCTTTCTCTGGTGCAATTCCTCAGGTATTTCTTTTTCCCTCTGTCCCCTCTGCAGCACTTTATTGACTGCCATGCTTTATCTTGCCTGTAATAACTTGATGCATTTTATTTTTACTAACCAACTAAGGTAAAGTTTTCTTCTCTAAGATAAAAGATTGCTTAAGACTCATCGTTGAAAACTCACAGCTCACCCTCCAGAGGGTTTTCAGAGACTGTAGATTGCATGGAAGGAGACTGTCCACCCTCTGCCTTGGAGCAGTTGGTGGATTCAAGCTATCTGCCTTTGGGTTGGCACAGCAACTCCTTATCCACCAGTTCTCTGAATAATCTTCAACAAATTAGTGGTAAGTAACAGAAAAGGACAAGAGTGATAATGAGGATATGAGAGAAGTGCTTCTTTCTGGCTCTTGACGTGGCTGAAGGAAGTAAGCTATGATATCAGTTGAGGTGGTGCCACTCAAGTGGATGATGGGTGGATAGTGCCTCTTATCCTACATTAACTCTCAGGAGTCAGTATGTAAGTGATTTTTTTAAAAAATGGTCTTATTTTATTATTTTTTATGTGTGTACTGTCAAATCACATCTGACTGGTACAGGAGAGATTGTCCCTCCTTCTCCAGAAGAACATCTGGTGGATTCAAACCGCATGCCTCCGGGATTGCAGTGCAGCTTCTTGCCAGTAGGCCACCAGAGCTCCCTCAGTATGTAAGTGATTTCAAACAGGAACTCAAAGGTAATCAACACAGGAAATCAATCTAGGGACCAGTCATGAGCTTGACACCTTTTCACCAGAGCTTTGAGGAAAAGGCCTCTCAAGCTACTGAGGAAGAAATTTCAAAATCCTTACTCCTCTTATCTGCTAGAGGCAAAAACTGATATTATATAGACTAAAAAGATTAATTCTATTAAAATTGTGGTTCATATTCCCGAGTATAAACTAGGTCAAATAACTCAAGACAAATTACACTTTAGGTCTCTACTTGTGCTTTATATGATGTTGAACAGGCAAGGACTTCCTGGACTTTTGATAGGACTAGCTTTGTCTCTGCTCAGCTCTTTAGTATCCACATTGGCTTGTGAGAGCTGAGCTACTTAGAACTTCTGTTTTCCATACTGTAAAAATGTGGATGCAATATCTGTGCCTATTTTCTAGATTTCAATTATGAGGACCACATAAAGAAATACAAAGAATATGATATGTATTAAGCGTGCACATTAAGATTTTTCCATATAAAACGCTGTGACAAAAAAAAAAAAATACTGAGCCACCCCAGATAACCAGCTTGCTCCAAAATCACTGCTTTATCAGTTGGCACAGGATTGAAGAGTTAGGAAAACTAATGACATAAGCTCTTGGGTAGTGGTGAACTGGTACAGGAAGATGGTGGCATTGTTGAGAAGAGCATCTTGAACAAGTTTCTTCGTTGCAAGCTGAAAAGATTACTTGATGAAAGTAGATATCATCATATAATTCAGAGGAGAAAACTGAGCATTGTCAGGGCTAATGGGCCAGCTGCAGGTACTGTCAAAGCTTGATATGGGGATTGAAAAGGTAACAACAGATCCAGGTGAACTTAGAAATCAAGGTTGCCCTACTCTCTGTCCTGTCTACCACTCCAAAGCTTAGATGACTCTACTGATAATTTTCACAGAATTTAAAAGAACTAAATGAACTAAATAATTTAGTTCATTAAATAAAAAAAAGCTTCCAAACTCAGTTTAGAAGAGAAATACGACCCACCTGTTCCCGTGTGACTTACAGCCTCAGACACACAATAGAGGGTCAGCTATGAATAGTCTCTGAGTTCATGACAGTGGGTTTTGAATGTGAACTAAGCACGTGACTAACAGTCAAAAGGTTGGTTGGGTAGTTTGAACCAAACTAGAGATGGCTCAGAAAACAGGCCAGATAATGTGCTGCTAGACTACAATGGAGTCAATCTGCTCTGCACAAGTTTTGGTTTCATTTGCTATATTGTGCTCGGTGCCAGAATATCTGGTGACCCAACCTAGAAGCAAAGTAATCCAAGAAATAGCAAGTGAGGTCGATAGAGGGCATCACAGAACCAGCACTGGCTATGATGGGCAATAGAAAGAGGTAAAGAAGATTATGAGAACTCTTCTTATTTATTCTTATCACCATCAACATCTCTCTTCTTTCATCTTTGAATTTGAAACAGTTCATTCTCTTTACAAGTTCCATGCCCAATTGGCAGCCCTTCTCCCTCTTTTTTAAAAAAAAAGTTATTAATTTTAATGAACATTTACAGAGATTTTGGATTTCCATTCATTTATTGTTGCA